TTCATCTTATTACTAACAATGCACTCTTCCCAGTGCATTAGCTAGACCAGTGCTCTTTGACAGCATCTTTCCACCAGGCCAGAACCAACCTTACCTAAGGCCTCTCTCTACGGTTTGACGGAGAGGAGTTCCCAAGCACCTGTGTATGGGAAGTGGTTTTAACACTGTCAGAACTCCAAAAACGTTTGTTTGACACCTTCTGTTGATACATACCAGACTAGCTTCCTCCCACCTTCCCCTCCTCTGAGGACTTTGCCAAAACAATACCTGTTGGCATGGAGGAAGAGACAGACCCTCGCCCCCTTACCTGTTCCTGTGGGAATGTCACACTGCTAGAACTTTAAGTGGAAAAGAAGCCCATCAGCCTAGATTCTTTGTAGGATAAAAACTTGAGCCATTATCATGGAAGGGCTCTGGGCCCAGAAGGGCTGGCTAGACTCACATGCTCCCCTGGACGGTTCAGCTGCTACAAAGGTGAGTCAACATCACATCTCCACCATCTGCCTGATGCCTGTGCTCTGCACGGGGACAGTTCACCCCACAGCTGCCCCTCCATCTCCTACTGCAGAGTCAAGAGTCAAATAGCTCTACTCTATTCTACTGGAAACAACTCCCTAAAGGGATAGAGAATACCCAAGTTAGACCCCAGAGGCAGAATTTACAGATAGATGCAAAGGTGTAGATCCCTGCTGAGCCGCAGACAGCTTGGAATTCCAAGCAGAAGGAGCCAAGAAGGATGTAGGAAGATGGGGTCAACTTGGGGGCCTTGAAGGAAGTCAAGAGCTTAGAGATGCAGGCTTGAATAAAAGGAAGAGCTTAAACAAAGGTGACAGGAAGCTGCCTGGGCTGCTGGGGACAGGCAGCTGGTAGCATGCATACCTGAGGTATAGCATGTCTGGTGCAATGAACCTGTAGTAAGATGTGGCACATCAAAGGAGTGTGCATTTGGGAGACATTTGCTTATTTTTTATTTTTGCAGGGTTGAGGCTCAAATTCTGGGCCCTGTATATGCCAGGCAAGCATCTACCTGCTGAGCTATACCCCCAGCCCTACTTTAGAGAAAATGCAAAGGCCTTCTATCTGGGGCATTGAGACACTATCCAACAGGTCCATTGTTTTCAAACGAGTTGTGGGACCATTCTCTCACACATAGGCTCTGTCTTTGTACACACTAGGCAAGGGCTCTACCACAAAAATGTACAGCCCCAAGCCGGGTGGTGGTGGCGCACGCCTTTAATCCCACCACTTGGGAGGCAGAGGCAGGTGGATTTCTGAGTTCAAGGCCAGCCTGGTCTACAGAGTGAGTTCCAGGACAGCCAGGGCTACACAGAGAAACCCTGTCTCAAAAAACAAAAACAAACAAAAAAATGTACAGCCCCTTTTTTGTTTGTTAGTTACAGGGATCTAACCAGCACAGGCCAGTCTGCAACTCATGTAGATGAAACTATCTTTGATCCCTTGATCCTCTGGCCCTTCTCTCCCGTGTTAGGATAACAACCTGAGCCACTATGCCTAGCCATTGCCTATGTTTGCTTGCTTAGTTGGTTGGTTTTCACCATAGAATCAAAAGTGAAGAACCCTAGTTTAAAGGCGAGAAAAGGAGCTGCAAGATCTTAACCTAGGGACTCCTGTTAGCTCGGCTCGGCTCATCCCCAGGACCTAGCAATGGCTTACAACAACCATCTGCTGCCATTACCTGCCGCTGAGGTGTGGATGGCTTAGAAAAGGACTGCTTGGCTCTCTTTCTCTCTGTTCCCTCCTGTTCCCGGTTGATCTCTCCCTCCCCCCCCCACCCCCCACCCTTTCTTGTCCTTCTCTCTCTCCCCTTCTCTGCCCTCATGGCTCTGCTCCCTTCTGTCTGTCTCTACCCCTCCTCCAGGCCCTCGCTCCCCTTCCTTCCACCACTAAACGTCTTTCATACCAGATCTGTTGCATGGCATGGTTTCTCAGGGGACACCTTGGTATGGGCTCCTCATTATATTCCATAACAACTTCTGCTGTGGTATACCTACCACCCCGGGCCATTTTGCTGTATGGATACCCTATTGTTAGTTCTGAAATTAAGCCATGTGAGTTAAATGTCTTTCCCTAAGAGGACAGACACACCATAAACTTCATTTCCTTCCAAGTATGTGTTGAATCCTGCTGTGTGAAACTTGACTTGACCCATTTTTCTGCTAGTGGACATTATCATCAAAAATGGCTTTTTATAAATGGTTTTACTAGCCAGGCAGTGGTGGCACACTTGGGAGGCAAAGGCAGGCAGATTTCTGAGTTCCAGGCCAGCCTGATCTACAGAGTGAGTTCCAGGCCAGCTAGGGCTATACAGAGAAACCCTGTTTTGAAAAAAAAAAAAAACAAAAAACGGTTTTACTATTGTATATGATATCAGGAAAGCAAGACAAAAGACACCTATTTCCGTTTTGTTTTGTTTTGTTTTGTTTTTTCAAGACAGGGTTTCTCTGTATAGCCCTAGCTGTCCTGGAACTCACTCTGTAGACCAGGCTGGCCTTGAACTCAGAAATCCGCCTGTCTCTGCCTCCCAAGTGCTGGGATTAAAGGCGTGTGCCACCACTGCCCAGCAAGACACTTATTTCTTACAGGTTACTGGGATCCATTAAAGGACTCTGAGCAGGGCACTGGATCTACAATACCTGCGTAGGTGTAGTTATTTGACCGTGTAGGTGTAGATTTGGTTTGTTTGGTTTTGAGACTGAGTCTGGCTATACTGACAATGGAACTCAAATCGTGGGCATATACCATCCTCCCACCTCAGTCTTCTGAGAAGTGAGGGGCTGGGGTCTGAGTATGAGGACACTCACCGGGTCCACTGCATAAGAAGTGGAAAAGAACAGACGAGATAGTAAGTAAAGGACCCAGAAGGCCGGAGCAATGGCTCCGCGGTTGAGAGCACTTCTACTCTTGCAGAGGACTGGGGTTCAATTCCTAGCACCCACATGGTGACTTATATCATCTGTAACTCCAGTTCCAAGGGAACCAAGTGCCTTCTTCTGACCTCCGTGAGCACTAGGCAGTCACATGGCACACATACATACACGCGGGCAAAACACTCATACACGTAAAATAAAAAGTTTTAAAGTCCAATTTTGGGCTGGAGGGATGGCTCAGCGGTTAAGAGCATGGACTGCTCTTCCAGAGGTCCTGAGTTCAATTCCCAGCAACCACATGGTGGCTCACAACCATCTATAATGGGGATCTGATGCCCTCTTCTGGTGTGTCTGAAGATAACAACAGTATACTCACATACATGAAATAAATAAATCTTAAAAAAAAAAAAAGTCCAATTTTTAAAGAATGAAAGTAAAGGACCCCTAGAGGGACAGGATGAGGTGAGGTGATGGCAGATGACAGGACACTGTAGAGGTGGTCAATACTGTTGCCATTGTACCATGTGTTCCCGTCCCCTCTGAAAAAGCCACCTGCCCTAGGGATCAAAAGACCGAGATGGGGAATCAGTTTACCCATCAGGGGAAGTGAGTGTGTCACCTACAATCAGTGTGCGCAGTGGCAAGAAGGTAACCAGTGAACCAACCTGGTCAGCACAGAGACTAGACTGCCAGAGCCTAGAGGACAGAACACCCCACTGTCTCTTACCTCCCTGGGGCCCATCATTTATACCACTGTCTTTTGGATCCGGGTGTAATTGGTTTTGTATTGCCCAGGGAGGGTGTAATTGGTTTTGTATTGCCCAGGGTGGAGGTTGATCAGGGCAGGGCAGGAAGACCAGAGTTGGGAGCTGAGGAAACGCAGGTGCAGGGCAGCTGTGAGTGAAAGGTATGAAAACAGGCACCCTGTCTTCCTCTGTGGTTAGCAGGCAAACAACCTGAGAGCTGGGGCGATGGAGGGCAGTGACAGATGGGAGGATGCGGAGGTAGGAACTTCCGGAGATATAAAACAGGCACGCCCCCTTCATTTCCACTCAGAACGTGCTTCCTCCCTTCCCCGAGCCTGGTCTCCTTATGTGTGACTCATATTTGCCTCTGCTGCCGGGTTCCTGTGCCTTGGGAGTTTGCCCTCTGCTTGGGAAGTAGCTGGAAACTTAGGCTCCGCCCCTTTTCCCTGCAGCCTTTGGAGGGAAGTTCGGGTAGCGTCCCGCAATGTAGAGATATTGATTGACTCTGAAGACAGGCACATGTGCCTTTAAGCAAACCTCTTTTTCGAGCAAGACACGTCTGTAAAATAAGAGTAAGAGTACATACTTGTGTGGATTAAACCAGATAGGAGGCCGTTTCCTCAGTTTCAGCAATAATCAAGACAGGAAGACGGAGAGAAATTAAGAGGAAGTAAGCAAGCCACATCAGCACCCAACCATTCCACACTCCCCACCCCCAGCGGGATCTTAGCTGTACTACCCACTGTCCTTACAGAATTGGAATATTGACTTCTTGTTACGATCAGGTCAGTCCTGACTGCAATCCCTAAGCCTTCCACCTCTAAGAACACGCTACCACTTTGTGGGTGATTACTGGTCCCGTCTGCATACAAAAACAAAAACAAAACAAACAAAAAACCCTGAAGTTTCCGTTTCAGACCAGGGACGTGACTCAGTGGTGAAATACTTGCTTAGCACTCCTAAGCCCCGCCCCCCTGTCCCGCCCTCCCCCAGGTTACATCTCCAGCACTACTAAAAAATTAGAAGAAAACATTAAATTTAAGAACCAGGGCATGGGGGGGGGCCTGTCCCTTTAATCTCAGCACTCAGCAAACAGAGACCACTCAAATCTGAGGTCAGCCTGGTCTACATAGTAAATTCCAGGCTAGCCAGGGCTATAGAGGGAGATCCTGTCTAAAATAAATAAGTAGAAGGAAGGAAGGAAGGGGAAAATGGCATGATTTGTTTAGGACAGGCCAAGGGGAAATGGAACAGGGCAGACAAAAAGCAGTTCGCCTGGAAGGTCAGGAAACATCACAGGTAGCTTGCTCTCAGAGAGAAGCGATATGGCCTGCGTTCTCATTTTTCTTCCTCTTTGTCCTCGCAGTACAAGGAACTGGCCATCTACAGTAACAGCACAGAGATCCCCCTACAGGACAGTAACTTCTGCTCTACGGTGGAGGGACCCCTACTGACTTCCTTCAAGGCAGTGTTCATGCCTGTGGCCTACAGCCTCATCTTCCTCCTGGGGATGATGGGAAACGTCCTGGTGCTGGTGATCTTGGAGAGGCACCGGCACACCCGGAGTTCAACCGAGACCTTCCTGTTCCACCTCGCAGTGGCAGACCTTCTCTTAGTCCTCATCCTGCCTTTTGCAGTGGCTGAGGGCTCTGTGGGTTGGGTCCTAGGGACCTTCCTCTGCAAAATTGTGATCGCTCTGCACAAGATCAATTTTTACTGCAGCAGCCTGCTGCTGGCCTGCATAGCTGTAGACCGTTACCTGGCCATCGTCCATGCCATCCACGCCTACCGCCGCCGTCGCCTCCTCTCCATCCACATCACCTGCACGGCCATTTGGCTGGCCGGTTTCCTGTTTGCCTTGCCGGAACTCCTCTTTGCCAAGGTTGGCCAACCTCATAACAATGACTCCTTACCACAGTGTACCTTTTCCCAAGAAAACGAAGCGGAAACGAAAGCCTGGTTCACCTCCCGTTTCCTCTACCACATCGGGGGCTTCCTGCTACCGATGCTCGTGATGGGCTGGTGTTACGTGGGGGTGGTACACAGACTACTGCAGGCCCAGCGGCGCCCTCAGCGGCAGAAGGCAGTCAGGGTGGCCATCTTAGTGACAAGCATTTTCTTTCTCTGCTGGTCGCCCTACCATATTGTCATCTTCCTAGATACGCTGGAGAGGCTGAAGGCTGTGAACAGCAGCTGCGAGCTGAGTGGCTATCTCTCTGTGGCCATCACCTTATGTGAATTCCTGGGCCTGGCCCACTGCTGTCTTAATCCCATGCTCTACACCTTCGCCGGTGTAAAGTTCCGCAGTGACCTGTCTCGGCTTCTGACCAAGCTGGGCTGTGCTGGCCCGGCCTCCCTTTGCCAACTCTTTCCCAGCTGGCGTAAGAGTAGTCTCTCTGAGTCAGAGAATGCTACCTCACTCACTACCTTCTAGATCCCAGAAGTCTCAGCACCCACCTCCGTTTCTGTTTTCCTTGGGAGGATAAAGTGGTGGTGGAAACCCGTCCAACATGAGCTGGGGTTAGTGTCCCCAGATGGGACAGCTAGACGAACTCTCTCTAGAATGTCCCTAAAGTTCTTCTGCCAGCCCTCGGGCTAGACTAGAGCCACAGGAGTGGAAAGCAGCCCAAAGGCAAAGCAAGCAATATCCAGACCACCTGTATCACGTTAGAGGAAGAGAACTCCACACACCCCCCATCCTAATGAGCTAAAGCCAAGACTCAGTTCTATTTCTTCCTGGCCATAGGGAAAACCACCTCTGCCTGTGGCCCACAGTCCCATCTTCCTCCTGATTGAGCCCAGACTCTCCTCCCAGAATGTATTCCATCCTCTTAAAGACTGCCACAGCCACCCAGTACTCCTGTACCACTGAGGGATGGATAGCCAGCTGGCGGCAGACTGTGGCCTTAATGTGCCTGTCTCCTAAATACAGACTCCATGCCAGACTGTCAACTGTGCCTTTCTCTTAACCAAGCAGAAAGCTGAAACAGATCTACTTTAGGTAGCTGTCTGGCTCCAACCAAACCAGCATTGGATCAGCCCCACATTACTGGATCTTGGATTACAGACTGAGGGCAAGTTCCAGAAGGTCCTGGAAGCTAGCCAGTATCCTAAGAGGAGTAAAGGGCAAGCCAGCAGGAAAGAGGCCCAGTGGAAAAAATGGAAAGACATCTTTTCCAGGCTCCAAAGAAGAATGAGTACAAATCAGACCCGGCTGTTTTCACTACCCATGGACCAAAGCTTCCAGACTGGAAGGGAGAGGAGACCCAGGGCCCTAGTGGATCCTGGGCACTGATGGGGAAGGAGGCCAACTTGCCTGGGGAAAGTAAGATAGAAAAGTAGTCTTAGCCTCAGGAGAGGGGACACCTAGCTAAGAGAATGAAGACAGAGGTTCCTGTCCTCATTAGGTAGAGGCAATGTAAGAAGCCAACCTGGGCAGACAAGTCCCCAAGCTCCAGGAAGCAGTACCTTGCCCCTGGGAGGGTACTACTCAGATGGAACCAGAGGAAGCTGCTCCACGCCTGCTTAGGGGAAGCTAGCAGGCAATTCTGAGCTCTGCTTCCTCCTAGCCACTGATCTGGGAGGGGTGGGGGTGGGAAGCAGAGTTGCCTGGTGCCACTCAAGCCAACCACACAAGCTCCCTGGGGGACCCCCGCTGGGGAAATCAATGCTACAGCTTCAGAGACTATATCCTCATTGCAGAATGGTGGAGACACCTGGGGATCCCCTTTTCTGTTCCCAGCAGCCAGCTGGGTAGAGGCAAAACCAGACACAAGAAATAAAAATGCAAGAGATGGCATTTTTTTGAATTTTCTCTTTTTAATAAAAAGGCACCTATAAAACAGGTCAATACAGTACAGGCAGCACAGAGACCCCCGGAACAAGCCTAAAAAGTGTTTCAAAATAAAAACCAGGAAGATGTCTTCACATATTGTATTTATATATTTATATTTTATATATATATTTATATAATGGTACAAAATGGCTGGGGTGTGGCCATGGATGGAGGGGAGAAGGCTGGCCTGTGGAGATCACCTTGGGAAGCTAGTGGAGGTGGGAGACGAGAGGGCACCAGAAGGGGGCATCAGGCCCTTTGTGGCCTGAGCCCTCTCCTTGGAGCAGGGCAGGCTAGGGTGGGGATATGGGTGGGGGCACAAGGCCCAGATGGAAGCAGGGAGGGGCAGTGTCTGGCAGCAAGGACAGGTTTCCACCCACCTCTCAACACAAGAGACCTTGGCTCGGATCCCTGGGAGGGGCAGGGGAAGCCAAGGGCCTGCAGCCAGCTCTGGAGGGGGCTTGGTGCCTGACCCGGCTGACGGTGGACAGCACCAGACTGGGAGAAGTGGGCACAAATTCCCTTTGTATTACAGCTGCCAAGGCAAAACCAGGCCCTGCAGGTCAGAAAGGCTGGAGACAGGGCTCTGGTAAAAGACACCCTGTCTAGAATGGCCCTTGGCCCTGGAGGCAGGACAGGAAAGGCCTTAGCCAGGGAGCTGCCCGCCACCTTACAAGGCAGGAAAGGACGTGAGGGAAGCAGAAGTAGTTTACTCCTGGAGCCAAAGGAGACAAAACACCCATTCCTGTATGGCTTAGGTCTGACCAGTGGCGGGTGAGGGGCTCTCCTGGGAAGTCAGAGGGGAGGCAGTGGCTGGGCCTGGTGGGCATAGACAGATCTGGTACATGGCCCTGAGCCCTGGACAGAAGGACCTTGCCAGAGAGTAGGCAGGCAGGGGAGGCAGCAGGATGTTCTCCCCGACACGGCCTCCCCTCACTCCGTGCTAGAGGCGGAGGCTGGAGGGCCAACTCTGTTCCTTCCTTCTTTGGTGAGAAGCAAGTGGTGGTTTCTGGAAGAGTCCAAGCCCTGAGGGGTTACCTGGCCCAAGGCTACTGTAGCCAGGGTCCCAGCATGCTAACCCCTCCATAGCTCCATTCTAAGGGGCCACACGCTGCCCCTTCCTTCTCTCCTTTATCCTAGAATGGGGACAAAGGGCTTCAAGTTCTGGCTAAGTTGTAGCAGCAGAGGCACCCAGGCTGGGGGCCCTATGTCACTGGTGTGGGTAAACACATGTACATGTGCACACCTGCTCTCCGGAAATCACTCAGCAGCAGACAGGCGGCCATCGTAGAGGGAAGGGGGAAATTCTCGGCCCTCAGGGGCTCACCAAACAGAAGCCTAAGATGGTCTGACCTCGTTTTATAGGTGGGACGTATGGAGGGTGCGTAGGACTGGATGTCTCTGGGTCCAGGGGAATGGAGGGTGTGATCATTTGAAAGAAGGGGAAGGTTTTTTTTTTCTTCTTCTTAATCTTTTTTTCTTGTGTGTGACTTCTATCAAAACACAGAAATACGGCACACGCACAAACCGGCACAAACCGGCACAGAAGCGCAGCTCTATTTACAGCTCCGCTGGCACCTGCCCTCCTGGCCATCTGCCTGCAGGGGGCGCGCGAGAGGAGGTCAGCCGCGTCAGGAGAGGGGAAATGAGGCAGAAGGAAAACGGGGTAAAAAGCAGAGAGACCGGGAAGAGAGAAACGGACCTGAAGCCCTGGCCAGGTTTGACAGTCCTCCTCTCTCCCCGAGGACCCCCAAAACATAGCTGAAAGCGGGGAGGTGCAAAGACAAAGGGAAATAGAAGCTCCATAGGAATACGGGGGGCAGGGGAGGAGCAGTCCTGGTGGCAGAAATGGAACAAACCCCAATTCCAACTCCTCACCCAACACTTGCCGCTTCCCCCTAAGCTGCCAGCACATCGCGTTTCCACAAACACCACTCCCCACACAAGCCCGTTCCCACCCCTCCACCCTACCCCTGGACCCAGGCCATCCATCCCAACACTGGAGTAAAAACAAAACTTTTTAGAGTTAACGTATTTTCAGTATCCCCAGCCCCAGACCGAGGGGCCTGCTAGAAGGGTAGATTGGCCATGCCGCCCGGCGTTGGGAGGTAGCCCATCTGGCTGTCCAGAGACACACTGCGCTGCCGCAGAGGGTGGGACACCATGAGGTTCTGCTGGGGTGGGGGGCCCATGAGGGAGCCCTGTGGGGAGAGCATGTGGGGAGGCTGGGTGTAGACCTCGCCCCCGCCACCCCTCTGCTTCATCAGCATAAAATTCTGCTGGGTCATGAGGCCTTGTGGAGGTGACATGACCCCCTGGTGCAGGCCGTGGGGCACCATGCCCTGCTGTGGGGGCACACCTGTCCTGCCCAGCAAGGACATCTGTCCAGGGTGGCACATGGACATGCTGAGCCCCCGCTGGACCCCCTGTTGGCCTGGGAGGTTGGGGGGCCGAGACGGGGTCTGCTCTGCCATCATGTTCTGCAGGTTCATGAGATGCAGATTGGGGGGCTGGGCCTTGGGGGGCTGGTTCTCGCTCTTGGGGAAGTACTGGAGGGTGCTGCTTGGTTTCTCGGAGGGGATGATCCTGGATAAGTCGAACTCAGGAATGCCGGTAGGGGTGGGCCGGATCACCTCACTCAGCTCTGGGTCATTCAGTACCGATGCCACCCCAGGGAGCACCCCGGGTGGGTATGTGTCGCCCATGCGGCCAGCCATGCCTTTGCCCAACAGGTGCTGCTGGGGGGGTATGGGACCAGGTGGCTGGTTGGGCAGGTCCTCAGGGGGCAGGACTATGCCTGAAGAATAGTGCTGCTGCAGGCCAGGTCCCCCAGCCCCGGAGGGGGCCATGGCACCATGGGGTTGCTGCAGCCGAGGAGGAAAGGACATCATCTGGGAAGAGTTGGGGACAGGGCCGCAGGGGGTATTTAGGGAGTCTGGGCCTCCTGGGGCCATCATCATTGAGTTCTGAGAAGGGCCCCCAGTCCCCTGGGCATTGGGGTGCAGTGGAATGTTGGACCCCAGAGGGGTGGGGGAGGGCAACATCGTAGGTGGAGGCTCATGGGACAGGGGCTGCTGGCCTGGCATGTTCATGCCCATGGGGCTCTGGGCAGCAGCAGGGTTCATGTGCATCTGGTTGGGCTGGTTATTGCTGATACCTGTGGGGGGGAAAGAATGGGGCATTAGAGGCTACGCCACCCGACCTGGAAAGGAGCCTCCCAGTCCTTCCCCAGCCCACTAAAGGGCTCTGGGCTGGGTTTCACTAAGTGATGGGAAGTAATTGTTGTTAACAGGCCCCAGAGCTCACACCACCCCATGACCAGAGACTGTGGAAGCTAGCAGAAGCCTGCACGTCCACAGGGGCAATTCCTAAGCAAATCCCACTGTTGCCACTCCCAGAGAGAGTTTTCCCTCCTCGCACCTGGCCCGGAGCCCTGCGGGGGTGGGGGTGGGGGAAGCAGCGGCCGGTCGGGCAGCAGCTCGTCGTCTGAGGTGGCAATGGTCTTGATGGCATTGTGGTAAAGCGGGGTCGAGCTGGGCATGGCATACTTGGACATCTGAGACATCATCAGTGACAGAGGGTTCTGGGAAGGCGCAGGGTCTGGGGAGGATGTGAAGGGTAGGCTGGGATTCATGAGGCCGCTGGAAGGGTTGGCAGGAGGAGCCGAGGAGCTGTTCCGGGGGCCGCTGGGTGGGAGGGCACCTACAGAAGTGGAGACAGAGAAAGACAGCAGGGGTCACTGGCCAGGTTAACTTGCCCCAAATCTCCACCTCACTTCAGACACACTCCTATCCCACTGACCGCGGGCTCCTGTGGTCCCTATGGCCCACACATCTCTAAGCAGTCCCCGCAGTGGGGAGAGACCAAGTACCAAGCGGAGCTCTGTGTAAAAGGCTCTGGCAAAACTGTCACCACAGTCCCTGCAGGAACCTACCCGCCACCACGGCTCCCACCCAAGTCCACCTAAGTCACTCACCCTGTTCCATGTTGCCCAGGGTAGAGGAAGAGTTTATGTTGAGAGGTGGCTGCTTATTCTGGGAGACCCCAGGACTAGGCATGGCTGTCTTGGGAGAAGCGACCCAGCCCGGAGAAGGCACCGCCATGGAGGGAGACTTGAGCCTGCTGGGTGAGCCAGTGGGTGAGCGTACACTGAGGGAAGAGCTGAGGACCTGGGGTGACTTGAGTGGCCCTGGTGGGTTGGCAGAAGGCAAAGGGACCATCTGTGAGGGAGTCTGGGGTGACTTGAGGTTGGCAGATGGTGAGGTGACCAGGGGGGAGTGCACCTGGCTAAGGGTTGGTGACTTCAGATGCCCCATGCCTGGTGAGCCCATCTGGTTAATACTGATGGAGAGATCTGAAGGCCGCCTGCCTAGCCCCCTGTTGGGGGCTGAGTGAACAGACCCAGGAGGATTGGATGCAGGGGGCAGAGGCATATGGCTGAGCCGGGCGGTACCCACGGTGCCCATGGGCACTGAACTCTGATCAGGGCTGAACATGTCTGGAGTGTTGCCCATGTCCTGGGGCATGGCTTGGTAGGGTCCCTGACCCCCAGAGAATCCCTGCTGGCCCTGGTTGGGAAACTGTGACGGCATGAGCATCTTCTGGGGACCCCCCATCATGGCACTACTGTTCTGGGCCCGAACCCGAGCCATCTCTTCAGGACTGAGGCCCTGGGGACCCATCATGTCTCCTGGGCCTCGCATCTTCTGTGACATCAGCATCTGCTGCTGCGGTGTCATCTGCACGTTCAGATTCATGTTCATGTTCATGTTCACGTTCATGTTCATGTTGAGGTTGCCGGGCCCCATCGGCGGGTCGACCTCCCGCAGCCCAGACTGTCCCATCGGAGGGCTCAGGAGGCCGCGGCCTCCACCGAACTCTATGCCCATGGGAGTGCCAGCCAGCCCATCTCCTCCGGTCATCTGTCCCGGGAACATGGTCGCGTCCATCTGTCGATGTGCCTG